AGGTTCATTTTTGCCTCACAGAATCTTTGGATTGAGTTTGTTGAGCTTTATCTGAGATCACTCTTGGGGAGGACCCCAAAAATGCCACCCCACACCTCTCTATCGCCCTGTGCTGACAGGTCTCCTATGTAAAGGAATCCAGAAACGGCAGGGGACATTTGTCGTCTGTGTAGAACCCTGGCCCTCACTAAAAGCAAGCACAATCAGGTAGTTGGCATGGGACCCTAGAAATCCACACGCGGAACTTGGTTTCTGGCATCATCACGTAACCTACTCATTCCCCTATTTCCCCAGCCTAAAGAGACAAGTATTCCAGAAAGTGTTTTGAAAACTTCAAGGTGAAAGGTACAAGGAAGAGCAAATTATGATGTTACCTTTGTACTGAAGGCCCGTATACTCATTTGCATTCCCCTGTCCAGAGCTATGATGGTTATTGATTGAGGATTGGCTCCAAAGACACTGTCCACCCCCCTCTCCATTAGCATATACTTAGCAATGACCTCCAATCACACAGGACAGTGGAGTTTTGCTTCATGCTGAGTCTGAAATAATTGGGTTTAGACCACGCACACAGATTCAAAACAGTATGCAAATGCAGAAATGTTTCCAGGGTCTTGATGTAGACTTTTGACATGAAGTTTGCCATGTGTCTTCCACCATTTCAGAAAACATCAGGCAGTGATGAAACGCAACTTAGCGTCCTCCTTTCTTCCTCTTTTTACCTATTTGTGGTGTTTACGCTTAGAGCCAAGGTTGTATCATGAAGCTGTTAACCTGGAGGGGGGCTGTGGGAGATGATGTGCGGTCTTGGTCTGTTCCTTGCCATCCAGGAAAGGTGGTTTCCTCGCCCATTTTAAATCAGCAGAATATGGGGCCGGGAAGGGGGCGGGGGAGGCGTCTCATAGCTGGCTGAGTCAGTAGAGCATGCACTTCTTGATCTTTTGAGGTTTTGAGTTTGAGCCCCACGCTGGGTGTAGAGATTACTTTAAAAAAATAAAATCCTTAAAAAAAAAAATGAACAGAATGGGGTCTTGCTTAATACCTCTAGTTGTCTCTGAGCTAGTTCACTTTTTAAAGCCTTGCCCTCAACTTATGGTCCTTTCCAGAGGTGGCAGAGAGCCATTTGGTACTGAGTTCCTAAAAGCCGTTCGTGCACTTAGATATCCGTCTCCTTTCAACCTTCCTTCCCAGGAGGGAGCAGACTTCTCCACCCTCTCTTCTTGTATTTCCCTGGTCCAGTCTGTCTACTATCCTTGTTATTTACAACTGGGCCTCCTGTGGTTTTCTCTCCCTTCTTCGGCTCCAAGTCGGAAACTTTACAGGCCATTCTCTAAGGAAACTTGATGGGTTCATCAGTACAATACCCCCCAACTTTTATAACTGATACATTGGTGCTCACTTTTTTTTTTTTTAGTTTATTTATTTTGAGAGCGAGAGAGAGCAGCACAAGTTGGGGAGGGGTAGGGAAAAAGAATCCTAAGCAGACTCTGCACTGCCAGTGCAAAGCCTGATACAGGACTCAAACCCACAACCCATGAGATCTTGATCTGAGCAGAAGTTGGATACTTAACCGACTGAGCCACCCAGGAGTCCCCACTGGTGTTCACTTAAGAGATGGTTTAATGTCGTCTGCCATCTTTCCTGAGCTCCCGGTTTTGAACTAAAATCTTTTCATGTTGTGAGTGGAGAGTTAATCTCCCTCTTCCCCCAAGAGAACATAGCTTTTAGATGTCCCTGATCTAATGGACATGTAATTTAATTTGTCATATCCAATGGATATGAAATCCAATGCAAAATACTTAATAGATAGTTTTGCATCTCAGCTATTATATTATACATCCCCTTTGTACCCAGTGTGGTTGGGTCGTGAGCACAAATATAGGTATGATTTTATCCTCAAAGGAAGTAATCTGGACCCAGCTCTGCTGATGCCATGTGTTGGCATCATCACCGTGAGCCTCCACTGGAGGGGAGAACTAGTCCTGCTAAGAGAAGCATTTTGCAGAACAGGCCCGTGATGTACCAGTAAGAGTATTTGTAATTTGCAAGTCCTTAATATGTGCCAGGCACCATACTAAGTACTTAATGTCAGTGATTATGAAACTCAATGATTATTAAACCATAAGAGGGTTAAGTTCCATTTGGGCTAGAAGAAGAGAAGACTCTCTTTCAGAGGAATGTCTCCAGGAAAAAATGGAACTGACAGATTGCTTGATCTGTAGTAAGAGAAGTTTTAGAGTCAGAGAGTTCCGGGATAAAATTGTAGTAGGCACATAGAAAACTAACCACATGAAAATTAAAGCAAAACAGAAAGTCGTACAAGTAAATAAATGTACTCATGAGCCATGTGTGGCTCAGCTACTTAAAATATATGCAGAGATTTTAGAATGTACATACAAAATTCTGATTTAAGCAAAAAGCATGATATGAACTTGAATTAATTAGAACCAACCAGGAAAACAGGAACTCAGGCATTTAAAACAGAGAGAATTTAATACAGGGAATTGGTTATTCAGGTGATTGATGTGAGAAGCCAAACAGGAGATGGTGAGGCTACTAGAGATGAGCAGTGACAGGGACCTGCTGCCATCCCTAGACCAGAAGGGCAGAAGGAAGAGCCTCTGTGTTGGAGCCCAGTGGCCAACATGGTGACAGAGCTCAAGTCTGACCTCCTATAGATGAAAGTCGCTAGGTCACACATGCAAGTGAAACGCATCCTAGCCACAGCAATCAGACAACATAAAGAAATGAAAGGCATCCAGATTGGCAAGGAAGAAAAAACTTTCCCTATTTGCAGATGACGTGATACTATGTATAGAAAACCCGAAAGACCACCAAAAAGCTGCTAGAACTGATAAATTCAGTAACGTCTCAGGATACAAAATCAATGTATAGAAATCTGTTGCACTTCAGTACACCAATAATGGAGCAGCAGAAAGAGAAATTAAGGACTCAGTCTCATTCACAATTGCACCAAAAATATTAAGAGACCCAGGAGTGAACCTAACCAAAAAGGCGAAAGCCTGTACCCTGAAAACTACAAGCCATTGATGAAAGAAATTGAAGAAGACACAAAGAAATGGAAAGACATTCCATGCTCATGGATTGGAAGAAGAAATATTGTTAAAATGTCAGTACTACCCAAAACAATCTGCACATCTAATGCAATCCCCTATCAAAATACCAACAGCATTTTTCACAGAACTAGAACAAACAGTCATAAACTTTGTATGGCCCCCAAAGAGCCGACACAATCTTGAAAAAGCAAAGCAAAGCTGGAAGCATCCCAATTGTAGACTTCACGTTATATTACGTAGCAGTAGTCATCAAAACAGTATGGTACTGGCATAAAGGTAGGCATGTAGATCAGTGGGACAGAATAGAAACCCAGAAATGAACCTGTAATTATATAGTCAGTTAGTCTTCAACGAGGCAGGAAAGAATATCCAGTGGGAAAGAGACACTGTCTTAAACAAATGGTGTTGGGAAAACTGGACAGCCACATGCCAAAGAATGAAACTGGACCATTCTCTTTTACCATACACAAAAATAAATTCACAATGGATTAAAGACCTAAATGTGAGACCTGAAACCGTAGAAGTCCTTGAAGAAAGCACAAGCAGTAACTTCTCTAACATTGGCCGTTACAGCTTTTCTCTAGATAGGCCTCCTGAAGCAAGGAAAGCAAAAATAAACTATTGGGACTACATCAAAACAAAAAGCTTCTGCACAGTGGAAAAAACAGTCAACAAAACTGAAAGGCGACCTATAGAATGGGAGAAGATATTTGCAAATGACGTATCTGATAAAGGGTTAGTATCCAAAATACATAAAGAATTTATAAAACTCGACACCCCAAAAGAGAATAATCCAATTTAAAAATGGGCAGAAGACATTAATAGACATTTTTCCAAAGAAGACTTACAGATGGCCAACAGACACATGAAAAAATGCTCAACATCACTTATCATCAGAGAAATGCAAATCAGTGAGGTATCACCTCACACCTGTCAGGATGGCTAAAATCAACAACACAAGAAACAAGTGTTGGTGACGATGGCGCACTGCTGGTGGGAATCCAAACTGGTGCAGCCGCTGTGGAAAACAGTATGACAGGTCCTCAAAAAATTAAATATAGAACTACCCTATGATCCAGCAATTGCACTACTAGGTATTTACCTAAAGAATACAGTAGTCCTAATTCAAAGGGACACATGCATCTCAATATTTATAGCAGCATTATTTACAGTAGCCCAATTGTAGAAACAGCCTGAGTATCTATCAATTCATGAATGGATTCAGAATAAGTGGTATAAGTGGTACATGTGCATACACCGTAGAATATTACCCAGCCATAAAAAGAATGAAACCTTGCCAATGACATGGATGGAGCTGGAGAGCATTATGCTAAGTGAAATACATCAGTCAGAGAAAGACAAATATTATATGATTTCACTCATATGTGGAATTTAAGAAACAAAACAGACGAGCAAAGGGGGTTGAGAGGCTAACCAAGAAACAGACCCTTAACTGTAGAGAACAGATAGCGACTCGTGGGGAGGATAGTGGGGGAATGAGTTAAATACGCAATGAGGATTCAGGAGTGCACTTGTGATGAGCGCTGGGTGATGTACAGAAGTGTCAAATCCCTATATTGTACACCTGAAACTATTATTACACTGTATGTTAACTAACTTGAATTTAAATAAAAACTTTTTTAAAAGTAAAATGAAAAAGCAACAACTGGCATTAAAAATGTATCATGTGGAAATCTGGAGGTAAATACCAGAAGAACTCGCTAAGAACTGGTTAGCCCTGAAAGGGAAAAGGCAGAACAAGGGAGTCATATTTTTTGTAAAAAAGCTTAGAAATCCCATTTGCCTCCTTGACTCTCTTGCACTGATACACAGATGGAAGAGAGAAGTCTTTAGTACTTTGTGTTGTGTGTTTCTTGGACTAAGGTTCCAGTTGATACATGCGCACTTTCTTTTCCCACCTAGGTATGTTGATGATGTGATCAGCCGCATCGACAGGATGTTTCCTGAAATGTCCATCCACTTATCCAGGCCCAATGGAACGTCAGCAATGCTTCTGGTAAGTTCTACCTGACCTATCTGTAGAGCCACGTGGAAGAAGACTGGCCTCAGGGTTAGGTCTCCGGTTCTGTGTCCTAGGATCTAGAGAATGGAGATTAAATCCCAATTCGGTAGTAAATAGCATATTTCTGTTCATTGGCTTTCTGTAGTTTAGAAATTCTGCACATTGAAACTTTGCTCTTGAACGAAACTGCAGAGCCCATCTAAGTATTAACCAGAGAGGAAATATACCGAAGGACCATGTCACCTGTGAGTCAGTCCATGACGTTTTGGTGAATCTGGTTTTTGTTGTCTCGAAGACCACAGCAGTGCCTGGCTCTTGGATTCCACCCGGGAAAGCACCACCTTAAAATAGAACCAGGTTCTGTGGAAAATCACTTATAAAATCCATTGTGTATTTGAAAAATGTGTTCTGAGACCTTATCACTGATGATTTCCAGTTTTGGCGTTTCTGATTTTGAGTTGCTCTGAGTACGTTGGCCTCATAGCTGCACCCCTGACGTGTGTGTCCACTTGAATTCACCAAAGACCAGTATGCTCGGGAAGTAGAATGGACTACAGATGACGAATTATATTTAATTAGAAAGACAGAGTCCTCAGTGATGTGGGGCTCTCCTAATCGTCTGTGTGATGATGGTGCTTGAAGAATACTTCTCTGAACACAGGTTTTTGTTTTTGTTTTTAATTTTTTAATGTTTATTTACTTTTGAGGGAGAGAGACAGAGTGAGAGCAGGAGAGGGGCAGAGAGAGAGAGGGAGACACAGAATCCGAAGCAGGCTCCAGGATCCGAGCTGTCAGCACAGAGCCCCACGCGGGGCTCAAACTCACGAACCGTGAGATCATGACCTGAGCTGAAGTCGGACACTCAACCAACTGGGCCACCCAGGTGCCCTTCTGAACACAGGTTTTGAGGAGCCACCACGTTTTACAGAAAGCAGAATTGGGGTGCCTGGGTGGTTCAGTCAGGTGAGCATCCGACTCTTGATTTAGACTCCAGTCATGATCCTACAGTCATGAGATCGAGCCCCACATCAGGCTCTGTGCTGAGCAAGGAGTCTGCTTGGGTCTCTCTCTCTCTCTCTCTCTCTCTCTCTCTCTCTCCTTCCCTCCCTCCTTCCCTCCCTCCCTCCCCTGCTTGTTCTCTCTCCCTCTCTCTATTCCTCTCAAAATAAATAAAGAAGCATTTTTAAAAAAGAATTAATTAATTGAATCAGAGTGATGGTGTTTTGTGGGCATCAGGGAGATGAGCTTCAAGATGGAGTGTTTTTCGTGTCAGCTGCTGCTGCTCTGGCACCTTGTGTAAGCTCCCCATGCTGTAGCATTTCTGACTTTTGCAGAATTTTATGAAGAGCCAGTCACCGAGGATGAGCCACTGTTCGCTCTAGCCATTCACCTGAGAAGAGGCTTATTGCGTGTACACGTGTGTGAACAAGTGTGATTTTTCTCTTAAGAAAGGAACAGATGTGGGCTTAGGAAATAAATGTGTATCTTTTGGGAGAAAAAAATTAGTGAACTTCATCTAGGTATCGTACTACTTTAAAATTCCTTCATTTAAAAAATACAGTGATTGAGGTGATACAGTATTCTTTTACTAGAAAAAGAGAACAATTTGTATCTGTCTAGAAAACATGTGCTATCTTCTGCCTCAGTTAAATGTACAAATTGTCTAAATTTTGAGATCCTGTAGACCCAGCAGCTAAAGCATAAATCCTGCTTTCAGCATGCTTGACAGGGACCACAGAGTTAATGAAGATAAAAATGAGAACGTCCTCAGTGAAATAGGTTTGCTCAAATTATCTCTGGGCCATTGAGCTTCCATTTCATGTTGGAGGCAGGGTTTGGCATTGAGGGGGCAGGGGGAGGAGCGGAGAGCAGGATCATAGGTAAACAGGCTAAGATATTAGAGTTACTTCCACCTGAGAGAGTGGCTTTTATTTCACCGTGAGCTGTCAGCCGCATCCGCTTTCCCATGGAGCTGCTGTTTTAACAGGCTGGGGAGTGAGTTGGGGCTCAAGTCAGGGGAAGAAACCCATTTTATACCCCATTTTAGGTGTGCATTTTTATCCCCAGGCGTGGCGCATTGGGAATGTGAGAGCCAGCTAGTTGTCACCTTCGCGAGGGGACGCAGGCATTCACGGAAGGTGGTGCGTATTGATAGGAAGGGCAGAGGAAGGCAGGGTTCAGAATCACATTGCTAGGTGGGACGTAATTGTCTTATTTGGCTTTTACTTTTCCAAGATGGCATTTTATTAGATCGCGGACCTCTGGGCCACTTGCTGCCGCCGCACAGACCTCATCCCTGAGGCTGAAGGCGGTTCTCCCCGGCACAGGAGCGACACCAGGCCCAGCGCCCTTGCGGGTCAGCTGCTCCTGTGCCTTCAGCAGAGAACGTTTGGGACCCGCGCCGTGGACACGAGGGTCAGGCGAGAGTTAGAAGCGCTGTTTTCCGGAGATCCGTCTGGAATGGATTGTATACGTCTGGAGCTCAGCGTGGGCTGGAAAAGCTTTGGGAGGTGAGCGAGGCTGACAGGGAAAGACCGTGAGCCGGTGACCAGGACACACACGAGCCGTCTCCGCTGACTCTCCTCTTCCCTGCCGCGGCCGAGGCCCGAAGTGCCCTGTGCTTTTGAATAAAATGGCATCTCCTCCTGAGTCAGCGGGGCCTCCTCGAGTGCAGTCAACCCGCTCTGATTCACTTAGGCAAGAAAAGGGTTCGTTTTTGTTTTCGTTTGCTTTCTGATGACGCCGGACGCTCACACACGGGAAGGTAGAGCTGAACTGGCAGGAGGGACAAACACCAGGGCGTCCCCAGGGGTGTCCAGAGCAGGGTGATGGTCCTCTGGGGACCCTCTGGCCCCGATGCTTCAGGATCCCCCGCCTTCCGTCCCGCCCCTGTGTCCCCGCAGCGGGGCGAGCTCGCCGGCCAGGCCTTCTTGTGGTTGTTCCCTCCGTCGCGGAGGGAAACCGGGCCGCGGCAGCCCCACGGAACTGTGCGGGGTGGAGCCGATGATTCCCGGGGACAGAGAGGCAGGGGCGGGAAAGCCGCAGGCGACACAGGAAAGTCAGCTTCCGCTTGTTTTCCTGGTCACAAGAGAGAGAGCCGGAGGCGGGAGGGTCTCCGGGGCCACGCAGCCAGGACACGCCACCCAGGCCTCGGGGCCTGCCTTCCTCCTCCCGTCGCTTACAGCTCCTGACGGCGGCAGGCAGGGCGTGGGCCACCGGGCACTCAGCAGGTCATTTCTTCTTAGAGGTTTTTTATTCTGTAATTTGATGTATACAAAAGGATGTGTGTTAACATCTATGCCAATTATAAAGCGGAGGGATGAGCCCAAGAGCTCACCGAGCCTATCTGGTGTGTGCCTCCCGCCCCCCACCCCCCAGTCCCTGCCTCTCCACCCAGAGTCACCACCATCCCGGGGGTCTTCCTCGTCTCTTCCTTGTTAAATGCAGTTTACCACGTGGACATGCGTTCCCAAATAGTGTGTGTGTGTGTGTGTGTGTGTGTGTGTGTGTGTGTGTGTGTGTGGTTTCTGAGATGTGTCCACGTTGGATCTGGAAGCTTGATCATCTTCACTGTTAGGTAATAGTCCCTTCTGTGATTCCGTATACTTCTCTGTGCGTGGTTGGGTGGTTTCCAGTGGTGCTTTCTAGATAATGGTCGCCTGAGCTTTATAAATGTGGATGTTGACCCCAAGCTCTGGAGCCAGTGCCGGCCTCCGTCTGGAGGAGGAAGGGGAGCACTGAGAGCAGTAGAGCAGACTGCGTTTTCCTCGCGACCACTTGAGTTGTAAGACGCAGTGGCATGTTGCCCCCACGGGCGTACGAGGGGGTCCAGAAGCATCTCCAGTTAAATGGCCTCTCTTCCACTATCAGCATGTCGTGCCGAGCTTGTTATAGCTTCTGGTTTGCGCGTGTGAGTATGGGGGTGGGGGGCAGGGTGGCGACATTTTTGTGCACACCCATAGGAGAGCAGCATAAAGTCATTGAACTCCAGAGTGTTCTGTGAACAAAGGGCAGCTGTGGTGATCCGTTTGGGTTTTCCCCTTCACCAAGCATTCACTGCTAAAAAGCAGCAGAGTGCCTTAGATGTACAGAGATCTGTAATTGGGAGCCACAGCCTGTCATCAAGTTTCCTCACAGTCTAGAAGGGGAAAAGAGAAACAGAATATAGAATTGGTACTTTTTAAGGCGATTGGGGCCAGTTTGGCTTCTCAAAAGTGAAACCAGCCTTTCAGCTTTGGAGGCGTCAGGGGTCCAGAGCCCGTCAGAAACGTTAGGAGCGGTCACCTTCCAGCCTGGGCCCTGTGTCCAGGGGACGCGCGTGCACTTACGCTGTTCACACGGGTGGACCCCCAGATGGTGCGTGCATAGCAGGTGGGGCTGGAGGAGGGAAGGGACAGCAGGGAGGCTGCTCGGGAAGTGCTCGCTGAATAGAGACGTGAATGACCAATAAGAAAGCATCTTTTTCCCGTATGTATCAGTTTGTCTACATTGGCTGCAGGGGGGACCTTCTCAAGGGAGAAGCAGTGAGCATTGGTACTAGTTTGACTCCAATTATTGTCTTAACTTCTGGCGTCTCCACGAGCCTTAGGTAATTGACTCTATCCTGTAAATGCCAAGTTCTAGCTGATGGGAAATATAAACTTTCAGCCTCTTACATAATCTTTAAATATGCCGTGGCTGGCTCTCTGCTCCGTTGGGGGGTGGAGGGGGCTGTTTTGGTGTTGTGTAAGTTCATAACTCATGATATAATAAATCCTGTTTCCGTTCTTTGAAGGGATGAGCTCAGCCATCCAAAAATAAATCTAGCTGTGTTGATATTTAGTTTCAGTTAATCTACCACCTAACATCCCATTATTAATTTTCTTCAAACAGTCAAAATATTGTAAGAGCTTAACTGAGTCAGAGGCTAGAACAAGCAGCTGGCTTCTCTTGGCATTTAAGATATTAATCTATAATTTTTGACTGATCTGCTAGGTATACAAACGTAGAAAAGA